AGCTTTTCTTTTCTTTTATTAGAAAGAAAATTGTTATATTGATGATGAAGTTCAATAGCTTTCTTGTATTGAGTGCAGTCTTTTTTGATATATTCTTCATTATCACAAAAGTAGAACAGCTTAGGAGCTGCATACTACTCTGTAGTAACTTTGTTGTCTAAAATAATATAGAATTGAGAAATCTTTTTTTCTAAATCTGAGTCTTTTATAGTCTTGAAGGTAATAATCTATTGATTAGTTAAATAAGGTGTGCCTTCTATTAAGAGCAGCTTAATTGAAGCAATTTTGCCAAAATTCTTGAAGGCATTTTTGATTTTATTTGAAATAAATTCTTTGTCATCTAAAGAAACATTTCTGATTTTAACTAGCAAAAAGGTTCTTCTAGTATTAACAGAAATATGCTCATAGTATATACAATTAAAAATTTCGATCTCTTTCATAGCATAGTGCTTAAGCTTTACCTCATTTGTAAAAATTAGTTCTAGATAGGTACAAGATCCTCTATTGACATATGGCTTAGCAGTGATTATGTCTTGTTCAGCTGTTTTATAAAGAGAAATCATAATTTCATTTAGTGAACTATTCAGGTTATAAATATCTAATATAAAAGCATTATTATTTTTAGACCTGATATTGTTTTTTGGTAAGAATGAAGAGAAAGTTAATTGTTCTTTCTTGACTTTTGCGAATAAGCTTGACCATGGTTTGTTCAAGACCTCTTTGCTTTTGTTTATACCTGTTGTATTAAACTTTGTATAAGATATGTTGTTTTGTTCTATATATAAAGTTGTTGTTGTTTTGTCTTTCAAAATGCATCTTGGAACTAGATATGACTATAAAGCTGTTTTGATTCTTCTTTTTTTCAAAAGCTTTTTTTTTATTTTCTAAAATAACTTGCTTATCCCAGCTAATATTGTTTAAATAGTCATATTGTGTAAAGTTAGTTAAGACTTTTTAGCTAATTTTTGTTATTATAGTATTCTTTTTAAAAGAAGAGTTAGTTTCAGTTATTGCTTGTTGTTTTTTTGTCAAAAAGTTTGCTATCAATTTATTTTTCTTGTTTCTGTAGACTTCTAAAACAAAAGTCTTGCACTTTTTGGAAACAAGGTGAAGAGCTCCTGTTCTGTTACTGTTTTTTAAGTTAGTGAAGCCTTGTGTAGAGTATATTTTGTCTTTTTTAAAATTGCTCGTTTTTCTAAACATAGCAGTCAGAAGAGAGAGATCATCAATCTCTGTTTCTAAAATATTTTTAATATTGTCATGTTTATCTTAATAAATATATTTATATTTTTTTAATATATACTTATTTATTTTTGAAGATTCTGCAGAACAGTTTTGATTGTAAAGATTATATTATATCAAATAATATAAACTATTAAACTTTAAACTTTCTCTAAATTATTGTCAGATTAGGTTTTTTTTTTCTAAATTTATATTGAAATAATATTTGAATATTAGTAATTCAAAATTTTTCAATAAACTCAAAAGTTATTTATTAATATTATTTTTATATACAATTAAACAATTGTAATTTTTTGTTAATTATCTTATTATTAATTATTTTGCTACTAATTATTTTACTAGCAGACTATTTATCTTATATTACATTTAATAATAATTAAATAAAATATATACAAGTTACTCTCATTATAGTAAACTCTCGATATAATAAAGAATAGCTTATAGTGAATAATTTTTTTAGAATAAAAACATTTATATTAAATTTTTGCTCTATATAATAAAATTAATTAGTAAACTTTTGATAAAAGATATAATGAAGTTTTTTTTTAAACAGATATAACAAAATATTGATTAATCCAATGAAGGCCAAATTATATGTTCTTTTTTGGCCAATCATATTAATACATGTTACTTACAATATAAAATAAGAATTAACCAAATTCAGTAACAACTAATTTTAAGTTTCAGCTATATATACTATATGCATATAATATATGTATATATATAGAACAAATACATATTATTCTTGACATATTATTTTTATACAAGAGATTAAAAGTTTTTACTTTGAAATTAATAATTTAAAAAATTTATTTCTAGGTTATATACTATCTTATTGTATATATGTTTGTACTTATATACACTCATATGTTATATATATATATATCTAATTAAATCGATACAAATTAATGTTACTGATTTTTTTTTAGACTTTTTTTTTAATTATTGCACAGGCAAACTTGTATTAATTAAAAAAAGAATTTTTTTTTGGTTAAATTTAATTGTTAATATAGATAAAAGTTTCAATTCACAAAAAGATTATAAAAAAACTATCTGAATAATTAAAAGAGAAAATTATTAATTAAAGATCTTTTTTGATCTTTTTTTAAAAAATAAAAATAATACTTCTTGCTTAAATTTAATTTAAATATATAGGTTTTGTACTAATTTTTAAAAAATTAAATTTCAAATATTTTGCAAACATTTTACTTGTATTTCTTTAAATTTTTTTTTTTTTTAAAAAAAAAATATTTTATTTTATATTTTAATAAAGCTTATCTTCTTAAGCGAACTTAGCTTTGAGAACATTGCATTCTTAGTGACTTATTAACTAGTTTCATTTTAACAAACAAAATTATGTCTTTTTTTATTTTAGAAATATACTTTTTTTTTTCTTGATTTTTTATTTTCTAATTTATTTTTTCTTAAATTTTTTTTCTTTACTTGCATTATAATATAATTTATGATAAACATTAATATAATGGCAATAGTAAAAGAATCTTCAAAAGAACTAGTAAAAAGCAAAAACATAATAAAAATAATAATATAAAAAGAAAAAACCTTACTGATATCCAAAAGGCTAAAATATACTATTTAAAACAAAAAGAAGTTAGTCAGATTAAATTAGCAAAAAAATTTGATATTGCTAAAGTAACAATCTTAGGTATTATAAAAAAGAAAAATGACTGTCATTTAATTTAAGTTTAAACAATGTCACTTTGAAACAATAAAGATCTGAAAAGTTTCTTTTACTAGAACAGATATTAGCTCTTTGAGTATTCTAAGCAAATACAACACTACAGATAGTTATAAGTGCAATACTTCAATGCAACACAATATAATTTGTAGAAAGACACAATGTAACAGGTTTCAGTGTCTCTGATAGGTGGCTTTCAAAATTTAAAAAATAATATCATATAAAAGAATAAAACATTTAGGTAAAATTGCAAGTGTACTTCTTAAAGAACTTTCTAAATTTTGTAATAAGCTACAAGAGATAATTAAAAATTATCATCCTAAAGATATTTATAATGCTAATAAAATAGCATTATACTAGTATATAGAATCTAATAAAACATTAGCTGATGGCCTGCTTTTAGAATAAAAAAAACCAAAAATCATATTACAATCTTACTTGTAATTTAATTAGCAATCATTAACTTTCTCCTCTGCTTATACACAAATTCAAAACCCTCCAAGTTTTTAAAAATATTGATAAATCTACCTTATCTATATATTATTACTGAAATAGTTCTGCTTGGATGCAAACATCTATTTTTAGTTATTATATTAAACATCTTGATAATTAAATATGACTTGTTAGTTAGTTAATTCTTCTTATATTAGATAATGCATTAACTTATGACTTGAAGAAGGCATTACTCTAACAAATATAAAGCTTAAATTTCATTTTTTACATACAATTGCACATTTGCAATCATGTGATACAGGAATAATTTGAAACTTTAAAGTAATTTTTAATTTGGATTAAAGATTAATATTAGGGTAATTTTTATTATATTTTATAAGTAAATTATTAATATTATTTTTATAACATAGGTGCATTATAAAAAAATTTTTTATAAAAATCATATAAATGTATTTGATATTTTTTTAAAATTTGATAGTAATTCTTCTAAACTAATAACTATTAAGAATGCAATTGATTTTACTATAGCTACTTGAAAAAAGTAACATCAAGAACCATTTATAATTGTTAAAGAAAAACTGACATTTTGGTAAAAAATTTTCTTAATGAACTATTCTCATTTAAGAAGCTTGACTGCTAAAAGAATATATAATTGTTAATAGCAATCTTATTATTACTAAATTGCTAAATGATGAAAAGATAATTGAAGTTATAAAAAATTGTAAATGTATTAAACCAAAAGATAAAGCCTCTTATAAACCAATATTCTTCATTTAAGCTCTAAAATTTATTAATAAAATTTTATTGTTTTTTAAGCAGTAACTAAATAGTAGTTTTAAAATTGATGAATTTTTTATTTAAAATTTAAATAAACTAAAAAAGAAAATAAGACTAAAGCATATTGTTTTGAGATATCAAAACACCTTGAATTCATTTATTTTGAATGCAGATTAGATTAAATTTTTCTTAAATTTCTTTTTTTGTTTTAAATATATATATATATATTTTTTCAATATATTTCAATTTTTTTCATTTTTAATGATTAGATTAGAATGGTCTTAAAAGAATTATAAAGGTAATGAATAATCAAATATAGTGTTTTATTTTCTGAGCATCATTTAATATAGTAACTTCAAAGTTGGTCAGCTGTTTTAAAAAATTTATTTACAAAAAACAATTGTATTTTCTTATAATAAAATAATTTTTTTTTGGAATTTTTTTTGAAAGAATTTTTTTTTCTTAATTTGTTTTTTTTTTCTTTTTTTGATTTCAAATACAGTTCAATTGTAATAAATAAAAACCAGACATATATATGTTCAAGTTTGATTTTGACAAAGTAAAATACTTAATATAGAATTCAATTTTTAGCAATAATAGAAAATTTTTACAATCTATTGTAATTTATACAAATATTAAGAAAATATAGATTGATGATACAAATCTAATAAATTATTTTATGAAAGAGTAAAATCTGCATAGTAATAATTTTCTTAATACAGATTTATATTTAGTTAGAGCTAGTTACATTAATAATGTAACTATTTCTAATGAGTTTTATCTTTCTATATTATTTTTGATATTTTTCTCAATATAGTAAAAATTTGTACCTTTACTTATTATCTTCACTATATTGAGGAACTTTCAATATAATAAATCTCTTAATATGATAAAAAAAAATTGACAGCTCAATGGTTTCACTATAATGAAAGTGACTTGTATCTGTAACTAATAAAATGTTAAATTGTTCATGTCTAATATTGAGTAAATTGTTTTTTAGTAAGTATCAACAATTATATATTATCTGCAATTATTAAAATAATTGCATATTAATTTTTAACAATTATTGAAATTATTAATTATTATTAACTATTATTAATCAATTATTAATTTTTTTATTATTAACTAAAAATTCAAAAATCCTATTGCTACTGGTAATAATCAAAACAATTGTTAATATAAATAAATATAATTAGAATAGTTAAATAAAAAACTTACAGGTGAGTTTTAAATATAACAACTAATGTAAAACCTTCAAGCAGACTACTTAAATTAGACAATAACTAAAGTTATATAAATGATTAACTGTATACTCTTTTCATTATTGTCTTTTGTGATTGTAATACAATCATTAACTGAACATATTATCAATAAAATCCTGAATTACAAATACTTACCTTAATATGAAAAAAAATTAAAAAGGTTTTAGTATATAAAAAATTTTTAATACATAAAAAATCATTACTTAACAATAAAGTTTTTTGAAAACTTTTAAATAAAATCATTATTTTTTTGCAATAACTATTTATAATATTGTAATAAACTTAAATACGGGTTAAAATCATATAGTATTAGTTTATAATAAAGATTTTGGTATGCTTATAAGAACGTAATGTTATTGGTTAATTGTCACATAAATTTCATGTGGTCAAAAAAATTATTCTTGAAAAATACATGTCAGAGAAGTTTGTTGTAAACATTTTTAATAATGGTTAGGTTTTTTATAATGGCTTGTTATATTGAAGTTTACTATAACTGTTTGTTGTATAACAAATTTGCTATATTTATATTTTAATGATCTTATAACATTTTATAATAATTGTTTTGTAATGACTATGTAATGGTTGTATAATGGTTTTGAATATTCGAATTAATTCAAATGCATACTTAATACGAATTGATTCGAATATTCAGTTATTCGAATATTCGATTCCAACCTCTAGTTCCAGCTCCCAGTCAGCAACACTGCCACTTAATAGGCCTTCTCGTTACCCTGGGCTTATCAGCTAAAATATTTCTATATAACTTATCTAACACGACTCTTTCTGGCGGGTTCTCCCGAAGTTCTTCTTCAATGTATTCATTATTTACGTAGTACCCGACACGAACAAATTCTTGGTCATTGTAAGAACATGTAATGATGATAACCGTAACGTCCAAGAGTTCGCTTTGCGGTATTCGATCGGGATTTGGCGCAGGTGCCTATAAAAATTAAATTTTAAAATGCCGAGCACATGAACAATATAGAAATAAATTATGAACAATACCTGGAATATAAATTGATTGATTCCGCATGGAACAGGTCCTACCATAATGCAATCAAGAACTTGGTCATATTGGTCGCTTTCTGAAGAGCCGACGTAGATGATTTTCCATTCTAAATCTAACATTATTAATTCAAATCATGTTAGCCTTGATATTAGCACCATATAGAGTAGAATTTGATATTTTTGTAAGGAAATTATGAACAGAATCAGATTCTTGATAATCGTAAATCGAATCTAAAGGAATGTAAGTCGACCGAGTTTTCTAGGAACTTACCGTCTGGTAGTGGTGAAATACATTCAAAAGTGATTTCAAACTGATAATCATCGGTGAAAAGAGTTGGATTATTGAGAACTCGGATGTTAGTAATATTGACAACACTCATTTCAAAATAATTATGCTCTGTTGATAGACGCGAATCTACAATATGAAAATACGTTGGCCTTTATACATTCGGATTTGGCTTGCTGCATGGAGATCTCATGTGATTTTAAACCAATTATATTACATTTACTAATTTCTCTCCAAGTTTCTATTGATTAGATTATTCGCACCAATTTACATATCACTTTTCATTTAAAATGTAACATATCAGTTAGGGTTTATTGGGTAGCATTATACCGGTACTAAAATTTTACAAGGAATTTTTTCTGTTAGTGCACCAAAGGTTATTTATTAGTTGAATTTCTGAGATAAATGCGACATCGCGGATGCTTTCGCATAATTGGAACAAAAAGATCATCCGTATCACGTGTATGTGATATTATTGGTTGATGAGTTGTTTAAGGGTAGAGTGTACTATTTATATATAAACTTAATGGTAATTCTTTTTTATATTTAAATTTTTTTTTTTTTTTTTTTATCCCTGGTGTTAATACCTAGAGGCGTGTGTGATGCTCTTTTATTAAAATCAAATTATTAAGAACATTGTATACATTTATATATATTTTTCATTTTTTGAGAACAGTTTTTTAAATTGTGATACAAAGTATGTATGTTTTTGTAAAGACGTTTAATTACTATTAGAAGTAGGATTCTGCTTGAAAGATTGCTATCTCCCTATTTGAAAGAGATGTAAGTGCATCATATTTCATAAATTATGTTTGTGTGCAATCATAGAGTAGCTTGTTTGCTTTCGTTATTTATAATGTTTGTTGTTATAAAAATTTCTTCTATAGAGGTTGGAGGAGTTTTAGCTTGGTTAGTTTTTAGAAGGCCATAGGCCTGCTTCTATATTTCTTTGCTAACCTTGCATTTAAGTGCAAAGTGCTCAGCAGTTTGTAGCTCATTGTCATACCAGAAGCAGTTTTCAGTAATAGAAGAACTTATATACTGTAGTCGATATCTTAGTAGTAAAGTTTTATAAAAAAGGCAACATAAAATGTTCTTTTTCTTGTGAGTTGTTTTCTTAACCAGCATCCAGTTAGAATGTTGGTTAGGATTAGGTGGTTCCTATATCAGCCTTTTCTTTAGAATTTCAATGATTTTCTTAACTGAAAGTTCTTCACCATTAAGTTTTTCTATTTCAATATCTTTGAGCTTTCAAGGTCAGCTCGTTGTCATAGTATAGTAACTTTGCCTTTAGTCTATTTTCAAGCTAGAAGGTATGGTTTCCATTCTTTTGGTCAGTCTTTTGATCTGATAATGTTTGTTTTTAATGCCTGATTTATTGATATGTTTCTTTTTTCGAGTAAGATTTCTGCGATTTTTTCTCTTTCATATTGGCTCATGTAAAGTCACTAGTAAGGAGTTTTTTCCATATTGAGATTAGTCTAGCATCTAGTATATCTTCTATTATTGAAGCTTGAAGGTCATTTTGTTTAAGTAATTGTTAGAATATAGAGTATTTAGGCAGCATTCTGGAATAGTTTTTAATCTAGAATATCATAAGTCTGTTGATTTCTGCAATCTGTTTTTTACTTGGTAAAGTCAGATATGCTGTATATCATATCTGTAAAAGTATAAGTGCCTTAGTTAAAAGGATTTTTCCTCTAAAAGAAAGATTTTGATTAGATGATTTTTCTAGTGTCTTTTTTATTCTTGTGATTGTTGTTGTCCATAAGTCTTTTTTAGGAATGCCTTTTGTGTTTACTTCATACTCAAGAATTATTAGTGTTTTCTGTTCTGTAGTTTTAGTAAATTGGAATTCGTTTTTAAATTCGATTCTGCAAGCTGTATTTGTAAGAGGCACTAATTTGGTTTTATTTTTGTTGATTTTTGCATTAAAGCCAGCTTCGTAGATTTTAAAAAGTTGTATAATGTTTATATAGTCTAATTATGAGCTTATTCCTATTGTTAAGTTATCTGCATAAGCTAACAGTTTAAAGAACTGGTTTTTTAAAGGAATTCCTTGAATGTTTCTTTTTAGTTGTATAAGTAGTGATTCAAATGCAAGTATATATAGTAAAGGGGAGAGTGGATCCTCTTGTTGTACTTCTCTTTTTACTCTAAAAGGTTCAGATAAGACATTGGTTTTCATAATGTATGCTATTTGGTTTGAAAAAAGGTTGGCTACCAAGTTGGTTATTTTTTTGTTGAAGTTCATTTATCTTAGAACCAGGTTCAGAGAGTTATGATTCACTTTGTCAAAAGCCTTTTGCTAATCTACTAAAAGTATCCAGTGCTGTTTGGAGCTGTCTGATTGGTTTCTTAATATAGTAATTATGTTCAAGGTTGTGTCTGTTATTGATCTTCTAAAAACAAATCCTTGTTGGTAATTGGGGATAATTTTCTTGCAGGTTATGTTAAGCCTGTTTGCTATAATTTTTATAAAAATTTTAGCATTGCAATTTACTAGTAAGATTGGATGCCAGTTGTTTAAATCTTTTAAGTTTTCTGACTTTTTAGAAATTAGTATAATTATGTTTCTGCATTATGAATCAGATAAACAATCAGTATCTAGTGCTTGATTGAACAACTTTTCAAGAACTAGTGCTATTTTTGATAATGTAAGTTTGTAGAATTTGTAGGTTGCCTATCAGTGCCAGATAACTTGTTATTAGGAAGGTCTTGTATTACTTGGATTATTTCTTCCTGTGAAATCTTTTTGACTAAGTTGTCATTTTGGTCCTGTGGTACTTGAGGAAGGCTTTCAGTAATCTTTTCTGCTGCCTTAATATTTATGTCTTCTTCTTTGTAGATTTTCATATATTGGTTTTTAATATATATAAGTATATCTTTGTTTTTTGAGCTTAAAGTTTCAGGTATTTCGATTCTAGACTGGGCACTTTGTGACTTTCTTGCTTTGTATCTTAAGAAAAAATATTTTTGATGACTTTTCTCTATTTTTGATCTATTTTGTCTTTGACCAAATTAACCATAGCTTAGCCATCTTAGTTAGTTCCTCTTGTATTTAAAAGTTAAGTTCTTCTATGTTTTTATTAAGGTGTTCTTTTGAGAAGTTCACTGCAAGCTTCTTATTTAGCTTTGTAATATTTTTGTCATTCTGTTTTCAGGGACTTTGGGTTTTCAAAAGACTCTGATGATTGATTGTATGTAGATTTTACATAGATCTCAGTTTTCTGCTAAGTTAGCATCTTGAATTTTTTTTAGTACCTTTTTTTTTAGTAATTCATTTTTAAAAGATTCTTTATTGAACTTCTAGACTGAAGACTATTTAGATTCTTGTTTGAATTCCAGTGTACATCTTACTAGGAGATGGTCTGAATTACCAAAGTGTATGCTAACTTCTGATATAAGATGATTATGATTCTCATCTATAAAAATGTAATCCAAACATATAGCCATTGAGCAATTATTTTGTGTTTTCTGAAAAAAAGTTAGAAAGGGCTTGGTGCTTGACATTTCTGCTGTGTTAATAAATTCTTTTGTTAGGTTGGAGAGCTGGGTCCTGGTTGAGTCATGTTGGGCTGTTGCTTGACTTATCCTGTTGTCTTTGGGGTTAAGATTAACATTGAAGTCTCCTGCTATAATGTTTATATTGTTTTCTTTGATTTGAGGTTTCCAGTCATTAAAAAAGGTTATTCTGTCACTAATGTTTGGTGGTGCATAGATGTTTGTTGTTTTAAAGGAATATCTTTTAAATACAAAGTTTGTTGTTATTATTCTTCCTTCATGGCTTATCTGAATGTTTTTAAATTCAATGTCTTTGCTCCTGCTAGAATTGCTATTTTTTTAGTTCAGATTGAATTGTAAATCTATTGTTGTTTGAGGAATTCTTGTGTTTTTTCATTATTAAGATTAGTTTCCTGAAACATTATTATATCTAGTTTGTATGATTTTAAGAGAGTTAGTGAGTTTTGTTGTTTTTCTTTGTTGTTAAGTCCTTTTATATTTAGTGTTGCTATTTTTAATTTTGTTTTTTGAGTCATAAATTATATAAGGTTGTTGGATCCCTTGAATTAGGAGTGGCTTGCTTCTCTATGAGTTTTTTTGTATAGAGATGATCTTGTTTCGTCTTTCTTAGATGTTCTGTTTCCTTTCTTGGTTTTTCTGTTAATGACTGTGATAAAGCCATCTGTTTTTTTATTTTTGTCAGAAGAAGAAGCTGCTTTAGGGATATGACTTGCTGATGGATGTGGTATTCCATAGCCATAAATGGCAAGTTCATCTCTTAGTAGCATTTCTGTATCTGATAAGAGATCTTTTTGAATTGTCACTTGCATTTGTTCATCTGAGCTGTTATTTGTTGTAGCTAATTCTGCTGAAACTGAAAGCTAAAGGTTTTGCTGATAGCTAGGATCAGTTTTCTCTAAGGCTATATGTGCATTATCTTTTGTATTATTTTGTTCTTGCTGCTTAGAGTTTGATGATAATAGAGATTCTTTATTGCTTTGTTCAGTACTTTCTGAAGTCTCATTTAATTCCTGAAAGTTATTTGAGAGTCTTCTATTATGTTTGTCTCCTTTGTATTGTTGGTAGCTAATTCATAGATTTACTGAGTCCTGAAATTGCTGGCATTCTTTTTTAACATGGCCTTCTTTCTCACAGAAGTAGCACATCTTAGATGCTGATTTCTATTCTGTTGTGACCTTATTGTTCCATATATGTATGAAACGAGGTATTTTGCTTTCTAGGTTAGAATCATCTGAGTTTTCAAAGATTATAATCCATTGGTCCATAAGATAAGGTGTTCCTTCAAATAGTAAGGGCTTGATTGATATGATTCTGTCTACAAACTTGAAGGCTTCTTTTATAGCATCTGATATTGTTTCTTTGTTACCTAACGGAACCTTTCTGATCTTAACTGAAAGAAATGATTTTCTTAAATCTGTAGAAATAAAGCTGAAGTAGGTTCTACTAAAAATATTAATACCCTTAATAGCATGGTGTTTTAATTTGTCTTTGTTTTTAAACACAATTTTCAAATATGTGTGTATTCCTTTCATAAAGTGTTGCTTTGCTGCTATGACATCCTTTTTAAGGTTCTTGAATAATGAGACCATAATTTCATTAAAAAAGCTATGCATGCCTTGAATGTCTATCATTAGAGCATTTTTATTTTTTGATCTGATTTGGCTTCTGGGTATGAAAAAGGAGTAGGTAAACTGTTCCTTTCTTAATTTTGGAAAGAGACTAGACCACTGTTTAGTTAGTATCTCTTTTGAACCTTTTTGTCTGTCGCTATTTTTTTGTAAGTCATTGTAAGGATTAATTTTATATGCTTCACTTAACAAACTGCTACTTTGTGAGTTTTTTATTATGTTTAGCTTCTGTTCTGTTGTATTTTCAGTTTCCTTTAAGTTGTTTAATATTATCTGTTTCTCAGATGTGTTGTTTGTTGTTATGTTTATAGTATTTTTAAACATGTTATTCTTATTTATTTTTTGGTCTTAAGTAGCTTTCATTTTTTCTATTTCTAGTTCAACTTGTTTGTCCCAGCTTGTTGAGTTTTCACTAGAGATTTCTTTTAGTATCTGCTTTTCTTTTTGTTCATGTTTAGTAGTTTTTTCTATATTAGTCATCAAGCTTAAAGAGCTTGACACATTTTTTTTGTTTTTCTTTACTTTTTTTTTGCTGCTTGTTGATGCCATTTTTTTTTTTTTTTTTATGCTTTTTGTGTATTGAAATTTTATAAAGGATCTTTTTTTTGGAACAAGGACAAGGGCCCTTGTTTTAGTAAATACTTTAGCCAGTTTTGTCTTGTTGTTTGCACTTATTTTTAACAAAAAGGTTACTCTACTCCAAAACTCATATGTTTGAGAGAGAGTGTATGCAGATCACCTCTTTAGCTTTTATATTTAAATTTATAAAAAACTATATTAAATAAATTAATTTAAATTATAAGTAAAGTTGTAAAATAGTCTTTCTGATTTTAAGGTGACCTTTTTGGTCTTTTGACTTTTATTAATTACTTGTTGGTATTGTGGTTCAATGAATCATTACAGAAGAGCATACAATTGATTACATATGTAACTTTTCTATATTACCTATTTAAGAAGTCTGCTTGAAGGTTCTCTACTAATTGTTATACCTAAACCTCTGCTTGAGTGTTCTATTTTAAACTCTTTGAACCTATAACTTGTATTAACTTACTAGATTATATTCAAATTTCCAGATTATTGTCTCAATCTTAGAACTAATTTATCTTTGAGATAAATTCTCTAGAGTCTTTTTGTATCTATTTTTATAGTTAACTTAGGTATCATTATGACAGAACCAACACTTGCAGTTAGGATTAACCATTTAACTATATGCCTTTGTAGAATTTACTTAGACTTCAGCATCTACTTCATAGCATAGCTCTGGTATTTTAGTATACTTCTGCTTTTTCTTTTGGCTTTTTATCAAACTTCCAATTCAGATAGCCTATGTAGGACTACAATCAGTCTATTGGTATATCAGATTGGTCTGATATCCTTTTTCTTAGTTTGTTTTAACAGCCTAGTTAGTAATATCTTTGAGACTTCTAACTTAAAAATTCTTGGCTGTCTGGTTACTATGATCAGGTACTAGACCTTAGTATCTATTTTTTCAGACTAGTCTTTACAGTAAAGTTGTCAAAGATCCAGTTACTTCTTTACTTGAATCTTTCAAATAGACTTCTTGTTATACAATTTTAACAAATTTATATAGTTACAAAGACTTATCTATGTTTGCATTATTCAATTTGTTAGTTTGCATTTTTCTGTATAACTTTAATATTGCACAGATGCCCTATGACTTACCAATCATGCTAATGCAACTGCTATTACAGGTATTCTAATCCAATCATTAGTAATAGTTGCTGTAATATAAATATTACATAGGTGATTATCCAAATTTTTGTTATCAATAGGATTTGAACATCCAACTTACTATTTAGAGGATTGACAACCTGACCACTTCACTAGGTTATCACACCCTATTAAAATATAAATTTTTAAATATTAGAATATAAAATTATATAATAAAATTAAGAGATAATCTATAATCTTAAAAACATTATCTTGAATGAGAGCTCAAAGCATCTATGCAAAATATAATATTACATGTATATAGAAGAATATTAATAATTAGTATTGTATAAGACTTTGGTGCAAACTTACAATAAGAACTTAAAAGCTTAAGTAAATTAACTAATCAAATTCTTCAATTTTGTACTATTTAGAAAATTTTTAACCAACCTAAGAAAATTTTATCATATATATAAGTATTTTTTTTTAAAATAATATAATTATTTAAAATTTTATTATAATAAATAAATAATTTTATTTACAATATTACTAATTATTAGTTATGTAGTTTTATTTAATAAATAAGCTATAATTTTATTAGTAAAACTATTAGTAATCTTAGACAAAATTAGTTAATTCTAACTTTGTTAATTATAATTCTGAAATATTCTAATCCAAAATTTTAAAGATTCTTCTGTATATAAGTTTATATTTTAGTAATAATAATAATGATCTTTTATCTTAGCAACTATTCTAATCTGACCTTTTGTTACATTGTAGATACATTGTGATTTAAGCTGCTATTAGCTTCAAATAAAGACAATTTTAGAAGTGTGACAACCTAGTGAAGTGATCAGGTTGTCAACTACCAAGTAACAGATCTAGGTTCAAATCTCAGCATTGACAGAAAATTTAAAAATCCTCTTTGTATTATAGTTAACTGTCTTTCACAATTAGTTAAAATAAAATACCTGTTACCTGTATCACATTAGCATGATTGACAGGTCATATAGCATTTGTATAATATTATATAATATTGTTCTTTAAGACAAGATCTGTGGTTACATGAAGGAATGCAAACTGGTACTGAGCAGTGCAAATCTACAATAAGTTTTTATGACCATATAAATTATAAAAACCAAATGAAGAAAGACAAAAGCTCATTTAGAAGACCTGAGTAGAAAGATAACTCAAACTTTTGACAGTGCTACTGTAAAGACTAGACCTATAAAATAAAGCTAGTACTTGTAAAACTAGACAAATGTGTTGGTCTTTAAGAAGGGACCAGATAAACCAACTAGGCTGCTAGAATTTCTGAATTTTAGAAAAAAAGATTACATGCTAGCAAACATGTAAACCAGAGGTGTATAGTTACAATCTGCCTTTTTGGGCTATCTGAGTTGCCAGCTTGATAGAACTTGAATTGAATACCAAAGTAGTAGGAATATATTATGAAATTAGTATCAGAATTGAGATAAACTCTACAAGGATATTAGCAGTTTAATAGTATATCTTGACTATCAGTATTGGTCTTAGCTATAGTGATACTGAATTAGTTACAAGAATGAGATATAGAAGATTCTGAAAGGTTTAGTACAAGGTCAAAGGTTCTTCATGTGAGTAAACTGTTTTAATGACTTAGTGGCCATAATATATTTTTATCAGTATTAGCTAGGATCATTAGTAAACATAGGTAGATAGATGAATACAGAAACTAGAGTGATTAAATAAGAAATCTACAAGCAGGTTTCAAGTATAACAACTAGTATAGAACCTTCGAGTAAACTGCTTAAATTAGACAATGACTAAAGTTGTATGAGTAGCTAGTTGTACACTCTTTTTATGATTGCTTTTTATGATTATAAAACATCTATTAGCCAAATATACTATTAATAAAATTCTGAGTCACAAGTACTTTTCTTAATATTAAAAAAAAAATAAAAATAAATAAAGATAATTTTATTTACTTTAAGTTGCTTTTTTAGATTCATGAAAAAGAAACTAACTATTGTTTTTTTTTAATTTGTTTCTTCTTATTGAATTTATTTTGTTAAATTCTTTTCATTAAATTTGTCTTAAGATATGCTTACAAGTTCTTTGTTAGTTATTAGTTGTAGTTAATTTTAAAACTTAAGATACTACAATTTAACTTACTTTGTAATTCTTTTATAATTAACAATTATGAGCTAAAAGAATAGCAATCCTAGTATAATAGTTAGGTTGTCATCTTCTAAGCAGTAGATTCAAAGTTTAAATTTTATTAATGCTAGAAAATTTAAAAAATAGTCTTATTCTGACAACTTGTATAGGATAACTGAGTTGTAATTAGGTTTTTATATAAGTCTGAGCTACTTATAGGTACCTACAGATAGTATTATAAGGGCTAGACTAGGGTGCTAAATTTTAAATCCTAGGGTAAAGATAAGGGCTTAGAAGCCAAACCCTTATATAAGAGCAGGACTTAGTACATTATTATATCTACCTTATATTTCAGAAAATATCTGTTAAAAATATTAATATTACAAATTTGAAGTTATACAAGTATAAATGCATAGATCTAGCTAATCAATTTGATTTTTTTGCTTATACATATAACTTCTAAATGCATAATAAAAATAAAATTAATAGCTTCAAATATAAGTATAAATTATTAAAGATAACAATACTAAGAATATAGCAATAGCATTTACTTTTTAATGATTTT